AATTACTTTGTCCGGGGGTAGCCTGACAATTTGTCGTTGTCCGTCAGTTGTAGCAACCAGCATTTTTTTACAATATTATGATTTTAAGAAACAAAACTTTTTCAAAAATTTAATAAAGAAAGAACTAACTTAAAAATATTATTTTATTATTCTTTACAAAACGCTGGCGCTGGAGTTATTTTTTCTCTCACTTATCAAATCTCAACATGTCCAAAGACTAATCATGTAGTACGCTGTGATCTGGAACACCCGAGGTTTTTGACTACCTAGGGATGAAGTTTTAGGATACTCCTGCCCGATATGCTAGCCTCCTCTGACTTAGGGTCTCATTAATCAGGAGAAGAGGTGGTTCCTAAGTACATTCCACATCAAGAGCGGACATTTTTTGATACTGTGCATCGAGGCGGTAATCCTATATCTGTGAATTCAAGAAAAAAAATCTAAATCAAAAGAATTTGGAACCAACACATGTCAAGGTAATTTAAGCATTCTTTTTAAAAAAATTTAATCAAAGATTAATTTGGTTTATATACAGTAAACCCAAGGAAAAAGAAGATATAATGTATTTTCAGAAGAATATGATAGTAACGCATATCAAGGTAACTTAAATATTTATTTTTTATTTTATTAAAAAAATATAATAACAAGATCTATTTTCTCTTTAAATAGCAAACTTCGAAAAAGGAAGTGGAATAAAACTGGAATAAATATAAAGGTATATTTTTTACTAATTTTTATTTATATTATTAATATTTTTTTTAACACTCTTTCTTTTTTCTAATCTAACGTTTATTTCTACTAATACTACTAAACATACTAACATTTTCTATCCATTTTATTTTTCTTTTTTTTTACTAACATTTTCTAATACCATTCCTTTTCTTTAACAATTTTGTTTAACATTATTCATACTAATATTTTTATTACTAAAATACTTTACTATTTCTATTTTTTTCTTTTAAATATTAAACAGATAAAAATATGCAGCAAATAAGTGAATACATTATTTTATACATAATTCTAATTTTTTATACAGCTAGAATAATTTTTATGATTTTTTGTAATTTTATTTATTTGTAATTAATTAACAATTAAATAAATAAATTAATATTATAATTGAATTTAAATTATAAATTTATTAGCATTCATATTATTGCATTAAATAAATATTATTTTTGATATGCGTTCAATAATAAAATCAGTAAATTATAGCTATTAGCCTATTAAGCCTATTAGGTATACTTCGGACATGTATATCGGCACTATCTGATAAATGTACGATATCTATCCGATATTTTACTATAATATATCGGGTATCTGATAAATCTATGATATGTGATTGATATTTGACTACCCGATATGTATAAGATATGTACATGATGTTTACAATATATGTCACCGATTTTCTACATTTCTACTACACTTATCGGGCACCCGATATATGTAGTATTGTTAAATATCATACACATATATCACATATATTGCACACATATCGGGTACCTGATATGTACTCGATAACCTTGATTTTGACCAGTGTCAGGTACCTGATATGTGTAGCATTGTTAAATATCATACACATATATCACATATATTGCACACATATCGGGTACCTGATATGTACTCGATAACCTTGATTTTGACCAGTGTCAGGTACCTGATATGTGTAGCATTGTTAAATATCATACACATATATCACATATATTGTATATATATCAGGTATCTGATATGTACTTAATTTTGACCAGTATATTTCCAATATCCTAAACCTTCAAACTACAAAAAGACAAAAAATGTTAGTTATTTCTTTAAAAGAAAATTTTTTATAATTTCGCAATGTTAAACTTACTAAATTTAAAAATTCCCAATTAAAACAATAAAACCTACAAAAAAAATGGAAAAGAAAACATTAAAACCGTTTCTAGTGATAAGAAAATGATAAGTTATGCTAAAACTTACCACTTTTACTTTTTGGCTAGATACCTATAAGAAAAGAAAAAAAAAACATTAAATGTTTCTAATTTAAAAAAAAACAAAAAAAAATAAGTTTTGTATACAGTCAGACCTCTATGTACCAATATCCTATGTACCGATAATTGCCTGTACCGATAAATTTTCTATGTCCTGTTTCACAATTAATAAAAAAATCTCGTTGTACTGATATTATATATGGTTTCACGATATAACATGTACTGATACTTTTCTTTGCCCCTTTATAATTAATACATAGTAAGATGTACCGATGATACTTTATGTTACACTGGTATTAATTCGGGTCAACACTATGAATTTGGCCGGAGTTAACATAAAGGTTCCATCCAAATCACATGACATTTAATATATTAGCTATCCGGAGTTTACATAATGCTAGCAAAAATTGGATTTTGGCCTGCATTATGATTCACTGATGACGGTTATGTAACGATAATTTGATATACCGATATATTTTTCCCAAAACAACAGTATCAGTACATAGAGATCCGACTGTACTCACATAACAAAACTTACATTTCATATTTTCAGAATCTTAGAAATACTGGAACCTACAAAAAGAAAAAATAAATGTTAAATGTTTCTAAAAAGTCAAAAAAAATAATACATTTTTCACACTAACAAAATATTCGAATATAGGTATTTTTTGGCAAACCTTATTTTGGAATTTAGGGATGTATATGCTAATCCTTTATCATATTATCGAAATTACAAAATTACGAAATTATGAAATGCAATGTGTAATTGCTAGTAAAGATCCAGAATTGCTTTATCCTACTGAGTTGTTAAGCAATATAAAACAAACTGGGCATTTTTTTGCTTAAGTTTCTTTACTTTACATGAGAAGTGAAACGAGACAGTATGGATAAATCACAAATTATAGCTCTCTCAATAAATAATCTTAAATCAGCACCCAGAGCTCTTGCTACAGATGTCCAAATTCTGAAAGTGAATCTGTGTTTGTTGTGTAGAAAAGAACTACTTACAAATTTGTCTAATTTGTGATTCTGGAGCATCTTGAGGTTTCTATAATAAAAAAAATATTGAAAATAAAACGTTAGCAATATTTCTAACATTACCAATTTAAAAACATTTTCCCGCCTTTTTAAATACCTTTTGGAGTGTTTCATCAGTTCCAGACCATCATAAGGGTTTTATAATAATAAAAAAATATTGAAAATAGAACAAGATTAAAAAAAATTTTTTAAGCACCTTTTGAGGATCATTCCATCAGTTCCGTGTCCTATAAAGAAAGGTTTAAAAAAAAATTTTTTTTAAATAAAAAAAAAGATCATAATCTGATAATCTGTTATTTACTAGGTAATGGGATCCGTTGTAATATCTGAAACACTCATTTAAAATCACGCACCAGGCACGTTACCGAAAACATGATCACGTGATAATAATCAACAATACATCTTATTGGTTAATCACACGTATGGACAGACATACCTTGCATTACAATGTGTCTAACCGTTAATGTCCTTCGCTACGCTTCGGACAATTATCAGACTTATCAGAACCTGTGATATATTTGATCAATCTGGATCGCACTTATAATACAATCTAACCTCGATATACCGATATTCAATATACCGATATTACTATTAAAAACTTGATATACTGATAAAATTTTATTTTCTGACTATATGTGAGGACATATAAATATCAGTATAACTTTGATATAATGATATATCATTATATGAAGGTTTGACTGTACCGGGGACTTTCAAGTTGGAATGGCAGAATCAATAATTAAAAAATCAGAACATTAACATATATATAACATTCTGATATATTTTTTTCTGATAGATTTAAAAAAGAACATTCAAAACGTTACAGTAAAAATATTTTGATAAAAAGATTAATAAATCTATCAGAATGTTACAGTAATAGTTTCAAAATTTTTTTTTTCAAAACTTACTTATGGGATTTAGTATCCTGATTCCTTACAATAAAATAAATAAAAAAAAATGTTTATTAACATTTTTTTTAATAGTTTCGAAAAAAATTTTCAAAACTTACCTATGGGATTCAGTATCCCGATTTCCTATAATAAAATAAAATAAAAAAAACATTTATTAACGTTTTTTTTAATAGTTTTGAAAAAAATTTCGAAACTTATCTAAGGAATTCGGTATTCTGATTTCCTACAATAAAATAAAATAAAAAAAACGTTTATGACGTTTTTTTAACCATGCTTGTCAGATCTAATAAACTCTAGGGGATAGGTAAATATACGGGGGGGCCACTCAAGGTTACACAGGCTGATCAATTACCGATTGAACTGAAGCCTTCATAAATTGGTTACACAAACGAAATTTCATATTAAAATTTCGCTTTTTTTTATTTTTTCGACACGCACACATAAGAAAGTAGCCGATCTTAGAAGTTAAGTTTGTTCATATTAGCTTTATATAGACGAAGTTTTTTCATCCAAATTGGACCACTGGTTAATTTCTTTCGTATTTTTATATGTTTTATTACATAACAATAGGAAGTTAGAAATTACAAACTTTTTTTTTGAGATTTCAATAAAAAAATAATTTTTTTTTTTTGCTTAAAACATTTAAAAATAGTGTTTTCTTCTTTCGTTGTGCATTATTTTCAAGTATTTAATAAACTTTTATATATTTTTGAGGTATTTAAAATAGCCGATCAAGTTTTTTGAAATATATAGAAGCTAAACCTTGACAAAAATTATATATTTGTGTAGTTTCAGATTTTGTCATTTTCGGGGGCTAATTTTTTTTTCATAGATCATATTGATTATCGGCCCATTTCTCGCTTTAAACATGGGGTATTTTTGAATTTTAATATAGTTACTTATAAAATTACTATAGGCTTCAGTTCTGGTCTTATGACCATGGCCTGTGTAACCTTGAGTTGGCCCCCCCGTATATTTACCTATCCCCTAGATAAACTACCAATTACTATTATCACGTGAGTGTAAAAAAGATGCTTCTAATTACACGACGCGTAAAAGCTATTGCTTAGTAATCAGGAGTACCATGAGTATTAGTTCCGAAGACATCGAAAACGTAAAAGTGCTTGCTAAAACATTTTCCTTGGGTAAGCATTAAATGATACAAATAAATGAAAAGTACAGAACAATTTATAATCTTTTTCATTACCATTTAGGCGTAAAGGCTATTCCCAACATTTTAAAAGAGAATGCGGGCCTTCTCAATGAGATTATAGAAAATATGTGCGTTGAACTGTTGAAGATCCAATTATCGTAATTGAATGGACCGTTCCATTTCCTCGTACTGGAAGAGGTCAGACGAAGGTATTTTTAAATTATTTGTTATTCATTGTTTGTTAATTAAAACTAATATGTACAAATTATTTTAGCGCGCGCTTATTCAATATATCACGACGCATGGAGGTATTAACGAATTTAATTCCGATGTAATTTTCTCATTTCAAAATGGACGTCAACTCACAAATTGTTTGAACGGCTTACCAGCTTGGTTAGTGTTAAGCTTTATTATTATTATTTTCTAGAAATATTTGCAATGTTTCTAACCTTCTCAAATATAGGTCGTACCACGATCGAACCAATCCAAATGTTCCGGATGTTGGAAACTGTTTTAGAGTAACGAAAGTTACTGAACGTACGGCGGAATTGGAGGATTACCAACGTATCTTTAACATTTAAGGCTTATCAATTATCTTTGCGACATTTAAAAAAAATATTTTATACTAAATATCCTTTAGAAGAAATTAATCAATCAATTATATTAATTTTATATGTTTTATATGAAACATGTATTTTTATTTTAATACAATATTAAAAAGTTATTTGCGTCTTTGCAGAATTTTTTTTATGCGTATGTCCATGTATTTAATAGAGTTCAAGTGATTGCTTTAATTATTACAAGAAAATAATCCTAAGCGCAGAAGATATTCGGTAAAATTCTTGCCGAAGAATAGAATTCTATTTAAAGTATTGATACTATATAACGAAAGTATTTACAATCACGTGAAAAATAGTGACCATAATTAGCCTCACATAGTATTAATTGATGGGCTGTTTGTATGCTTGTATGCAAAGAAAATCGAGAATTTTTTTATATTCTATCTATCGTACACTATTAATTATCTAAAAAAAAATTTGATTTGTTTACAGATTTGTTGGATAATGTTAATAAATATTTATACCGCTGCAGATTTTTCTTCAAATGAATCAAATGAATCGAAGTTCTGATTATTTCCTGTTTTGGTAAACTTCTACTCGAATTCACGTGACTATATATTTATTAAATTTTTGTTGAATTTATTTGTATATATTACGTTTTTTTTCTAAAGTCTTGTTTTTATCTTACCATATTTTGAGAAAGCGACTAAGCTATATTAGACTGATTCTACCAAAAAGCGTTGGCCGACTTTTTCGGTTTGAAATTGATTTCAGTAAGTCTGCTTATTATTAGTCAGATTGTACTTCCTTGATTTTTATTAGTAAGATGATTAGTTTCCTTAATCTTTGCCTGATTTAAAATATATTAAGCTTCTTTTTTTTTATTTAGAGGTTAAGAATAGACGTTGAAATCTATCAAAGCGATTTAATCAACTTCTTATCGTGATAGATTTGTTTATAGTAGCTGTCTTTAGCAGTAAATTTTAACCAATATTTATTTAATAATAGAACTTTTACAATAAATGTAATTAAAATCATAACAGTTTACTTGTTTCATCCTGTTTGTATTAAGTAACAATATAATATATTGATAAACAAAATTGCATTTAGTAAATACAAACTCTATTAAACTATTTAATCAACTTGACATTTTGTCAACTTTTAAGCACTAAACAAAAATAATAAATGGATTATAGTTCGTTACCACCAGAATTTCAAGGTAGATTAGCAAAATTAGAGCAAGAATATGAAGAAGGAGAATTAACAAAAAAAGGATTTGAAAAGAAAAAGAATTCTTTATTTGCAGAATATCGACAATATATTGGAGAAAATCATGTTGATATTGTTAGTGATATATTAGAGACACTTTCAATTTATCCATCCCCAATGGTGACGGGCGAGGCCAGTGAAGGAGGCGTTTCTCCAACTAATAGTATTAGTAGTGGAAATTATTATATCCAACAAGATGGTGGCTATTCAACTAATTCAAACCAATATAATCCAAATCAGCGATATCCTGGACATTCGGTACAACAATCATACGTTGCTAATCAGCCACCTATTCCTCATAATTCTTTTTCACACCATCAACTTCCTCACAGAGCAATGAATTCTGATTTAAGACTTGATCCAACTCATATAAATCCTACTGCTACATCCACTTCACCTAATATGTCTCCTTTAAATCTCAACAATCAACAAATTCCTAATATGAATTATAGACCTCCGCATCAATATAATCATTCTTTTGCACCATTCGGAACCGCGCCACCACCCCAATTTAGGCCAATGCAACCGCCAGGGCGTCCTCCTTTACCTCCACATGGGTATCATCATCAAACATCATTACAATATTTTCCTCCAAATACAGGTGGATTTCCTGTTAGACCAAACAGACCTCAAATGGCACAAATTCCACAAATTCGTCCTGTTCCGTCACCTTATGGAATAGAAGTTCCTCCAGGAGCTGCTCCATCTGGTCCAATTGGTAGAACAAGACACTTAGTAAATGAAGATGCTATCGAGCGTGCGCGAAGTATTAGTGGAGCTAGGTCAAGTTTGGACATAAGTGATACTGCAAGTATTAAAGGATATACTAGAAGTACGGGAGAATATGATTATTTGCGTAAGTATAATCAAAAAGCACGATCGGTGAGTGTTCCCTTATAAATAATTGTTATTATATTAACGATATTTCTTAAATTTAGCCGCACGTATTCAAGATGACAATGCTTCGATCAGGTCAGGGCGATCTAGCATTTATACTACGTCGAATTCGAACGGACAAAGGTTTGGTGGAATGATTAGTCCTGATGATAGACCCGGAAGAAGTAAATAATTTATGTTTATTATATTATTTTTTTTTTTTTGATGCCAAATTAATCTCTTTTTTATTTTTAGGTGTTGGAAATCGAATATCTTTATATAATAGTATGGTATATTCAGAAATATTAGATCCAACGCCTACATTTGATCCGGGATTATCAAAGTTAGGAGGATTACAATTTATGCCATTTGAACCACGGGAATTACCATTTGAAAATTTGGACCCATTGAATCCTTCAATGTCACTGTCAAATTTCGCAGATATAGCTGCATTATTAAGATATAGAGGCCAGACGACTCCCAAAAAGACAGCCTTTATAGTACTGGACCAAAAAGGTCGTGAAGTGCATGAATGGACATGGGAAAAATTACATTTGAAAGCCGAAAAAATGGCACAAGTAATTTCAAAAGATAGTGGATTAATGAAAGGTGAAAGAGTAGCATTAATTTATAGGAAAGCAGAAATTTTGGATTTTTTAGTAGCGTTGTATGGATGTTTCTTTGCTGGAGTTGTGGCAGTACCAATTAATGCTGTGGAAGAATTTAGAGAACTTAAGTTTATATTGGAAGCAACAGAAGCTAGGCTGGCGTTAACTACAGAACATAACCATAAAGTTTTTACACGAGATTTATTGGCTCAAAAAAAAGAATTACCAACGAATGTAATCTGGTGGAAAACTAATGAATATGGGGCATTAAATTTAAAGAAAGGTGATGAGCTTGGACCAATTAATGTTACTGAATTGGCATATATTGAATACACAAAAAGTCCTAATGGCGAATTAAAAGGAGTAGCGATAAGTCATCAAACAATCATGGCACAATGTAATGTTATGAGAGGGAGCGTAACGGATAAAAAAATGAGAGAATATTTGGACAAGCAAAGGAATCAAGGCTATCAACGACAGTCTAATGGTGGAGATGAGAGAAATAACGAAGTGAGTGGTAAAATTGTTGATACAGTGTTAAGTTATTTAGAGCCGAGACAACAATTTGGATTAATATTGGGCGCCCTATGGGGAGTGTACTGTGGTAATACTACTATATATCTAGGTAGCCTTGGACCTGATGTACCTGGTTTATGGGTAAATTGTATTTCAAAATACAAAGCTACAATTGCATTAGCAGATTATCCAGGCTTAAATCCAATAGTGTCCTCATTTATATCAGATCCTTCGGCAACTTTGAATTTTTTGAAAAAGCAAACACCGGACTTGTCATCATTACGCTTTTTGTTTGTCGATACACTGACAATAGATGTTCAAAAGAATCAAGAAATTATTGAACAATTCCTTGTTCCATTAGGGGCACAATTTCCGAAAGATGTTTTGACTCCATTGAGTAGTTTACCGGAACATGGAGGAATGGTGTTAAGTTTTGGAGATTTGTTAGGTGTGCAGGGACTGGACGATAGAGTCGAAGGAGAACGAGGTGTGAAAGTATTTTTATTAGATCGTGAAGAACTGAAAGAAAATCGAGTTGTTGTCGTAGGAACTGAAGAGGGGAGTAAGAAAAAGGATTGGGAACAAGGTGTTATGAAAGTTGGAGCTTTTGGATTTGTTATGCCTGAAAGTAAGAGAAGTTTATGCCATAAATGTTTTCTCTGATTTTTTTTCTTTAATTTTTTAACTTAGTGTATCTAAATATATAGCTACAATAGCAGTTGTTGATCCAGAAACAACAGCACTATGTCTGCCTAATACAATTGGAGAAATATGGGTTGATTCACCATCATTATCGGGAGGATTTTGGAACTTGCCAAAACATACCGAATCGATTTTCCACGCTCGTCCGATATTTGTACCAGGCGACACCAAACAACCCGAATATTTTGATCAAGAATTTTTGAGAACAGGACTTTTAGGGTCATTAATTAATGGACAATTGGTTATATTTGGATTATATGAACATCGAATAAGACAATTAATTGAACCTGTTAATAAGGAAAAGCAAAAGAAGTTGGTTGTAGTAAATAGGAGCGAATATGACGGAGGAAGTGACGAAGAGGAAATAAATGATGATAAGAAACAAGACGAAGAAGAAAAAGATAAATATAGGTTTCATTATACTTTGGATTTGGAGAATACTGTTAAGAAAATGATTGAAGGCGTTCATGATTGGTAAGTTACAATAAAGATTAATAAGTATTTAAATTGCATTTAAATGAGAAAAAAATTTTTTCATTTACACCTAATCTCTCTCGTAGTGTTGTAATTGAGATTTATATAAAGGATCAAAGCTTACCAGTGATGATAGCAGAATCTACATTACCCATAGAAAAATTAACTGCTCTTGCTGATGAAATATTCGAAAAATTAGTTATGTATCATGGACTCCGTCTTTATACGATATCAATATGTGCACAAGGATCATTGCCACGTGTATGGAAGAATGGTAAAAAACTGACAAATAGCATAACATGTAAAAAATATTTCGAATATGGACGTTTACAAGTTTTACATGTGAAGACTTGTGTATTAGACACGGTATTTAATATTCCGATCGGAGAAGATATGGTTGCCGGCATATGGGGACCTAGTAAGTTGTGGTTGATTTTGAATGAAATATAGATAATATTACATTGGAATAAGTGTACTTAAAAAAAAATTTTTTTTCTTTCGCTAGACGCTATGGCAGCAAGACAAGAGATGAGTAACGGATTAAGAAGAACTCAATATACGAGAATGGATATTCCACTAGAGGTATTAGACGAAAAAACTAGTATTAATTTATTAAAATTCCGAAGTATAGTTGATGTATTATTATGGCGTACACAAATGTCACCTGAAGAGACCGCATATAATATATTGGATACGAAAGGAAAAGAAGGAAAACCAATCTCATGGAAAAAATTAAATAATCGAATAGCGACCGTTGCGAATTATTTGCAAAAAAAAGGATGCAAAGCGGGAGACCATACAGTATTAATATTTCCACATGGAATAGATTTTGTGTGTAGCATATTTGCATGTATGGTATTAGGTATTATAGCAATTCCCATATCACAAACAGAACCTACGAAAGCATCAGAAGATATACCTGCACTATTTGGATTAATTGAGGATTTTAAAGTCAACTATTTATTGGTAAATACTGACACAGAACAAGTTCTTAAAAGCCGACAAATACAAAATTTCATAAAAACAATGAGCGGAGGTTCAAAGCAGTTGGACAGTAACAATTCAAAAGCGTTACCTTTGTTAATAAATATAGCCAAAGCACCAAAATATACAAGAACATTGAAAGAATCAAATTATGTTATGATGGAAGAATGGTTACAACCACAATGGGCAACGGTTGTTATGTGCTATTTCTCTGCAGATCAACGAAGAAGTTGTGTAAGATTGAATCATGACACATTGTTAGCATTATGCAAAGTACAAAAAGAGACTTGTAGATTGACAAGCATACGAGCGATATTAAGTTGTGTTAGGCATTTTAACGGTATTGGATTTGTGTATACTGTATTAATTGGCATATACTTGGGTAAGCTAATATATGAATTAGAGAGTTATTCTATTTATATTATTTATTTATTTATTTATTTATTTAGGATCACAAACAATTCTCATTTCACCACTTGATTACCACGCGAATCCATTGATGTGGTTTGAAACTTTATCCAAATTCAAAAGTAATAAATATAATAATGATTATTATGAGATTATAAACTACAATTTAACTATCTTTTCTTGATTACATAGTTAAGGATACTTACGCCACGTTCCCAATGCTGCAACATGCAATGTCATATTATGATAGTGTGGATTACCGAAATTTTTCTTTACAAAATTTAAAGAACTTAATGATTCCGGTTGACTGTAGACCGAATGCGAATTTATGTAAGAAAAAAAAATTGTTTAATGGTATATTTATCCGAATTTGGCTTAACTTGTTTTTTTTTGTTTGCGTCTGTAGATAAGAAGATGGTGAAAACATTTTTGGCGAATCGATTGGAAGAAGTGAATGTAAATTATATATATAGTCATATAGCAAATCCAATGATAACCACAAGATCTTATATGTGCGTAGAACCATTTGAGTTATATTTGGATTTAAAAAGTTTGAGAAGAGGAATTATTAAAGTTGTTGATCCTGAAGATGAACCTTTTGGGGTATTATTACATGATTCTGGAATGGTATGATTATTTAATGGAATGAAAAAAAAGGGAGCGAGATGAATATTCAAATATTTTTATTTGTTATGTAGGTCCCAGTGTCTACACAGGTAGCCATAGTACATCCAGAAACAAGACGTCCATGTTTATCAAACGAATTTGGAGAAATCTGGGTTAGCAGCGATTCTAATGCCAAATCCTCGTATGGGTCAATGGATCCGTTAGATCAAGAACGATACTCCGCGATAATAGACGGGGGAGATCCGAGAATAACTTATTTACGTACGGGTGATTTAGGATTTTTATATACAGTTCAAAAACCGGTAGGGGAAGGAGGTGCATTGGTGGAATTCCAATGTTTATTCTTTTTGGGGCCTATTGCAGAAACATTTGAAGTTAATGGATTAATACATTTTCCGGTGGACATCGAATTTACAGTTGAAAGATGTCATCAATTGAGCCATTGTAATTTGATCGCAACAGATGGATGTGTGGTATTCCAAGCTAATGGAGAAACAGTATGTATAGTAGAAGTGAGATCGTCAGAAGGGATTCTTAACTTGGTACCATGTATAATGAATTCAATACTTGATGAACATCAATTTATTATTGACGTAATTGTATTCATTGGACCTGGAACATTACCAAAATCAAGATTAGGTGAAAAACAGAGAACTAAAATTATGACATCATGGTTAAGCGGTAATTTATCTACATTGCATGTACATTATGTAAAACCATCACCATCAAATTCTAGACCAAATTCGTATTTACTACCGCCATTTATGATGCATTCCCAACAATTAATAACTACAAACCCATCACCTTCACCAACACTTGATCCATCTCGATATAGTATTACTACTGGATTTATTAATACAACGAGAAGTAATATAAACCCATCAGTAATGCCTTCTGATATGATGAATAATGAATTGAGTTTGAGTAATAGTAATCGAGGGAGCTTGAATATTAATAATAGAACTAATAGTCAAGAATTGACACGACAAAACACTAATTCATATAAAGTTAATAATGCTAATACTGGAACTGTTAACATGTAATTTAGTGATACTAAATACCAAAAGTTTGTTTGCTTAAATTATTTTATTTTTACCAATATTATTTCTATTTAATTAATTATTTATATTTATATAATATATATATATATACTTCTGTTTAATCTAATTAACATAATTATTGATGCTATTCCAATTTATCCAAATGATCTAATCTAGTTAATACAATATTCTTACTAGTTTCTTCGATTTCACCCGCCAAAAATACTTCATCTAATATTGCATACACCTAATAATAAAAAGAATCATTTTTAAGTTTCTATAATTGTTCAAATATAGTTATCATATAAGCTTACCTTGTAAAAATTGAAGACTAAATCCAGCTCACATACGTTACCGAAAAATGCATCCAACACCTCTACAAAAAAGTGTATCGCTTCTAAATATGCTAATTCATTATCATTTGCATCTACACACACACAAAAAAACAATCCTGCGTATCTTCTATAGACCACTTTATAATTTCGAAACTGTTGAAGAGAAAACTTATAAGTATAACGAATAAACGATTATTTGTGTAAATATATACCTTACCTCGACGAAATTGGATTGATGCTTTTGATCTCGAGGTGCAACTAATCTGTGTACTTCGCCTTTAAGTTTTACTTTTTCTTCATCCTCATAAGGAACATACCATTTTGATAGGCGTGTTTTACCTTGTCGGTTTTGTACAAGTATAAATCGAATCTATTGCACAAGTATGAATTAGATTTATTTGCCATCGCGAACTCTTAAATCCGAAATTAAAAGCTTACCATGGACGAGGTGAATATTAAATAAAGATCCTATTTTTTTTAACTATAATTTTGACCAGAATTAATACCAGTTTTTCACAAGACTGACCCAAATTAAATAAATGTTTATTGTGTTTTAACTTTTTATGGCAATTATCATCACAATTACCATCAGTTCCATGGATTTGGTTTGATTTGTGCACGTTTAAATGCATGCGTTATGCGTTAAAAAACTTTTTTTAAAAAAACGCAAAAGAAAAATTCTGTATAATATGATCGATGGCCGAGAATAGACAACCGTCTCTAGATCCTGAAAGGCAGTTAATTGTCAATTCGTTATTCTCCGATGGTGCCGAAGATCCCGTATCACCAAGTCTGTCTATTTCTTCTTTTTTTTAGATACAAAAATATTTACTAAATGACCTTTTTTATTAGCTCATAGTTCAGGTACTGAGTCTTTAATTACTTACTGTAAAGTATCAGAAGATACTGGTGGAGGTAATTCACCTACTGTTGATCGCCCTTTTGGGATTGGTAAAACAAATTCTAGAATAGACGTAAAAATTCGTTATTTATTGGTAACAAGTAATTATCACCATTTGTCATATCAAAATGAAAGTTTTTATCTTGTATGTTTGAAAAATTGAATTTTATCTTATTTCTTAAACAGTTGTTAGTAAAAACGGTAAAGTTCAAAAAGTCCAACTTCATAAGGCAAAAAAAAATCCAAATGATACTTTTTCCATTGGAAGAACTTGGCAGTTGGAGCAAGTTCGAAAAATCGAGTCAGTTGATGTAGGTTTTAATATTGATTAATTTTAAAGAAGTCGAAGTATTTTTTTTCATTTATATTTTTTCTTGTAGAATGTCACATTTGTGATAACAATATCTAAGCCTTATTGTTGGTCGACTGAAACTCAAGGAGAAAAAGATGTTTTTTTAAGTCAGCTTTTAAAGGTTCGTTGGAAGTAATATTTACACTTGAAAGAAGCTGATCAATTTACCGACGCGTCAATTTATATTCTAGACATTTAGAAAACACACAAAAAAATCTCCTAAACTAATAAACTTTGATAATGAAATACTTGCAGGTATAAAAATATTCAAATCGTTAAATTTAAGTAATAATTTCTATTATTAACACATTGGTACATTAAATCTATTATTTAGAGATGAAATCACCCTCGACCCCAACTAAGCCAGTTATACAAAATGAGACTGATAGTTATAATGTAGCAGCTTCATTACAAGAGCGCCTTGCAAATGCCAATAAATCATCATCAAGTTTACGAAGTCTTAACCAAAGAAACGGTCGATCAACACCAAATTTAACTTCTGGAGCCCAAGGAAGTGATACAAATAGCGTTCATCATCATACGGAAGATGATGGTTCGTATTTTATATATTACTATGTTCCCCCCGATAGGAAAAACTAAATTTTCTTTAAATGTTAATAAAGAACTCAAAGAAGAAGAATTATCTTTAATAAATGTTGGAGAGTTACTTAATGATTTTGATTGGAAGGGAAGTGGTAACGCAGCAGCTCTGGAAGAAAGATTATTAAATGAGTTAGCTGCTTTAGAAGCTGCGAATATACACGCTATGGTGGAATCTGATGATCGCATCCATTCTGTTATCGAGCAAATTGACAATGCTATTGCTGAATTAGACAATATGGATCAATGGCTTTCGCTATATACAGCTGAACTAAATGTAATGATCTTTATGAGTACAATTTTATTAACATTTAATTTTATATTAAAAATTCTTCGTTTTTTTATTGCGCATTCTATAGAGCATGGGAGATGATATTCATCACATTGAATCTCAAAATCGGGGATTACAAGTACAAACTGCAAATCAAAAAGCTTTGCTTTCTGAACTTGATAGGCTAATCGTATGTAAAATACGATATCATTTTTTTCTATTTATGAAATGGAATTTTAATTAGCTATTATATTCATATAGCAATCTATCACTTTGCCCGAACAAGTCATTCAGATATTGTTTAAAGAATCAATGGATACCGTACAAGGAATTCAGAATATTGAACATGTTGCAGCACAAATAAAGCGCGTATTAGAAACCCCGTTCGACGAAAGTATGTGAATAAGATGAGTTTATTAAGATTATTTAATTTTTCCGTATATAAATAATTATTTTTTTTCTTTATTAGGTACTAGACAAATGATGGCTATAAAAGAAAAATTGGAAACTTACAATTTCCACTGTAAGAATTTTTGTTCCCGATTTTATGAATATATGAGAATGATTTTTCAATTTCAGGTAAGATAGGTATCTAGACTTACCCTTGATTAATTTCATATTTTTTTTTCAAATCCGTTATTATTGATGATTTGGGTGGATTTCAAATGACCATTTGTCTTAGGCAGAAACTTTAATAAGTGACAAGAGCAGAGGACCTCGTCATAACTCTCTTACCATACAAGATCATGAAAGTATAGTAGAAAATTTATCAAAATATCGTGGACTCTCATTATGGATGAAAGAAATGGATCCTAAACGACACTTGGAAATTCAGTCGGTATGTCAAATATAGATTACGTTATATTAAAAAGAAAAACCATTAATAAATTGTCCGTGTTTAGCTTTATGTGATTTCCAAAGAACCTATATATAAGAAAGAGACAAAGGAATATCTGTCACAAATGAGGCATTTGTTGTCAAAGAGGGAATTAGCAGAAGAAGCAACATACGGTGAGATTCTTTGTGTCTTATATGATTGAAGTTTAGCGAGTTTTCGATCAATTTTAATCAATTGTTATATGCCATAAGTTTTCAGTGCTGCATTAAATCAAAGTGGCCGTGCCAGTTTAAGTTATGGCTACGCGAATTGGCTGACGTCAGAAAGTACAAAGCCACCGTGGGAATTTAAAGATGGAGGTGGTGGCAAACTACCACCTGAAGAGGTAAATATAATTTTAAAAGCAGTTTCAATCTTTCTACCTAATATTTTTTATATTATCTAAGGGTGTATTCATATTCATATTTTATTTTCAATTAACATATCTAGGCTTTTGACCACAATCTTCTAACTATTATACCACTTGTGGTTAATGAGCAAAATTTCATTGTTGACTTTTTCCATCTAAAAAAATATGCCGAAACCAAAAAAGAAGATCGGAACATTGAAGACGTTAGAATGCAAAATAAATTAACGTTAGTATAATTGTATGTTTGATACATATTGAACTAAGATTTATTTAATATGGTTTAATTATTTTAGTGAACATATGGAAAAACTCTTCAGTTTTCTGCCTGAAGAGTTGTCATCATTCGTTGATTATGGCTGTAAGCATGATAACATGTAAGTATAATTTAAATACAAAAATCATATTTATCTTCCAAAAAATTTGATAACGAATTTTTTTTTATCGAAAGTCAAGTTATTGGTATGATAGCTTCTCTGGAAAAGTATATGCATGCAAATGAAAAAATTGGCCAAGATTATGTTGTAAGAATGTTACAGAAAGTAAGATTACATTGTCTTGGCAAATTTGAAGTATTCATTGTAAGTTGCTTCTAAATCATGTTGATTTATTTTATTTTATTATAAATTTATATTAATATTAATTTGTGATATAGAATGATCAGCTTAAAGCTATTGAAGAAACTAAAGTTACAACAAAAAAGCGAAAGGGCATAGTTGTTTTTATGCGTATATTTCCGGTAAGTTAATTGCCTATCTTCTTATTATTTTCCTCTATTTTAAATTTATCTGTTTTATTTTTATAGCGCTTTGTTGAACGCATTGAACATTCAATGATAGAATCAGAGAAGCTTGAAATGCGTAGTATTGTAAATAGAGCATATGAACGCATTGTTAAAACAATGTTCGAATGTGTAGAAGCTATCGCAAAAGATGCGGATTCTCCTGTCGATGACAAAGAACAATTGAATGCTCATATAATGACTTTAGGTATTTATTATAATTTTAAGTGGTTAATGTATTGTTATCTTAATACATTTTTTTTTTACTAGAAAATATGCATTATTTTTATTCTGAAATTCGTTCACGTCGAATTAATATTCTTGAGCCATTTATGAGATATGCAAAGAGTTCGTATGATAAACATATGGAGGCATATGCTAAAGCAATGGTTCGAAGACCATTTGGAAAATTGCTGGTATGTATTATTTTTATCGTTTGATTTAAATATTTATTTACAATGTATTTTATTAGTTTTTTGTATTATGATTAGGAATTTTTTGAAGGTATAGAAAGTTTATTGAGAACAAATACAGCTCCAGAAGAAGTTGGATTCAGAATTCAATTTAATAAAGCAGCATTAAAGAAAGTTATATCACAATATCCTGGAAAAGAGGTAAAATAAAATTTCTTAAGTGTATATCGTTTTCATATAACAATTAACTTATTAGTTTGTTTTATAGATTAAGAAAGGTCTTGACTCACTGTACAAGCGAGTTGAAAAACATTTCAAGGAAGAAGAAGGAGGTCGTTTGTTGCAAGTTGTATGGCATGCAATAGAGGAAGAAGTAATTCGTAATCATGAAAGGTTTACATTAATAATTAATAAATGTTATCCCAATGCTAATATTACTTTAGAATTTTCTATGGATGATTTGTTGGGTTATTTCTCAGAGATAGCTAGAAGTCATTAAATAACTTATTTTACTATAATTTATGTATTTCTTATTTAAGTATTAATAGATATTTGTTAATAATTACTATTTTAAAGTGAAATCTATGATATACTTTGGGTCATACTCTTTCTATGCAATTTTTATTTACAATTTGTATTATTAATACCAGATGGTGGGGCCACTTTCTTTTGACCAAAATTATGCAGATCATCACATGTTGATGTAATATAAGAAACATATAATTTTGTACTAACAATAATAACAAAAACAATAAATAAACTTCCATGATTCAATTGCTTTATATCATTTCAGAATTTTTTGGAGATATATTACATAAATTTACAATTTGCACAAAAAAATATTTAGAAGGTTAAAAAATACCATAATTCGGTCAATATTAATCAGATCATCATAAATTTACCACCATCTGAATCGTCTCAATGAGACGAATCTAATGAGCTAAAAATTATGAAAATCCAATCACCAGAACAAAAGATACCATAGAGAACATCTAAACTTAATGTCTAAACATTTTAAAGTGAAATTACGTGCCAAATATCAATACCATAAATGCAAGATTATTATCATTCGAATTCTCTCAATGAGACAAATGTAATGAATCTAAAATTATGAAATTACAATCATTAGATAACAAAATGTCCTTAATTTACTGTTTTAAATTTTAAACTAAGCAAACTTACACAAACTTTAAAAATTTACATTTGCATACCACTCATAATAGCATATCAGAATTTAAGCAGTTATTGTTGCAAATGAGAATAGAATTTATTATTTAAATTAGTAGATAAAGACATAACAGATAATAGTTATATTTAACTTAAATTTTTATCTTTAATATATATATACGTTTATAAATTTTTTTATACTGAAAAGTGGCCGGATAATAGTGGCCAATTGGCAGTTTTCACACATTTTACACAACTGTTTACAACTTGTCATCCTTATATTTCTGAAGAGAAATGTCATCCAGGCATTTTGTGGTTATTTTCACACTACCTCTCCATCGTTTCTATACCATCATATTCATATCATTCTGAACATGCATGCAACAAACCACAAACATTTTCAGCAGGATAAGAGAGATTACTACAGTAGAATAAGATACAGTACAAAGTTATATACTACTTACATCCTAATTGTCAAATAAAATGGTGACAATCTGCACCACACTATATGCTGTATATGTTAAACCCGGAAATTTTATTACTAATATTATTAATTACATAACATGAAATCTGAATCGAAGGTACTGTATTCATTTAGCGCTGTTTTTTATTTTATTATTAATTACATTTTATTGCTTGTTGGCCTTAAGTTCTTGGTTATAGTCTTGCATGATATTTTACACGTACAGTAGTTCAGGACAAAACTAAGTGAATGGGATTTGATCAGACAACTAGCAACCTCAGCATTTTACATCATTGATGAATCTACGCACTTTTCTTATCTATATTATTGTTAAAGACTTTATTTTAAGTAACAAACATTTTAATATTTATGTATAAAAATTTCTTTAAATTAAGTATAATTTATTATTTATTAAAAAATTTACATTAAACTTAAGTAAAAATACAAATATTTGACACATTTTCAGTATAATTTAGAAAATATGTAAATTTATGAATTAATAATGCTAACTCTATGTTTTGATATTCTTTGATCATTTGAACTTTGACTTGAATGACGTCTTTTTTTAGAAGTTTCATAACCTTCAGGTAATGTATAGCCCCGACTCGGAGTTATTTCTTCGTTAGGTATTGTATTATGAGGAGCGTGGATTTTCAATAATTTTCGAAAACATTCCTGAATAGGTTTCATCTGATAATAAATAAAGTGGTTAATAATATAATATTGAAAACATATGCTCGAATAAATTTAATAAGTTTACCTTTTCAGGTTTTCTGGCAAAAATCCGAATACTAATTTCTTCATACTTCTCTGGAACAAAATAACTTACTTGTGATTTTGTCAAATTAAAGGCTATAAAGATTTGAAATAAATTAAATAATTGAAATTATACGAATTATATAATACGTATTAATAAATATTTACTTTCATCCAAATTATATTGATTATAAAATTTAACATAATCAACAGGATTCTTATCATTCATTGCATAATTCAACTTAAGTCGATCCACAATTATATCATCTTCCTCGAGTCTATCATTTTCCCCCTGGTGCGCTATGATTTCTCGAGCATTTATTTTTTGCTGTTATATAAGCAAAAATATTCATTAAATTTATAAGTTTAAATATTTAATGTTAAACATGTCTAACTTTTACCTCAGTTAAGTGGTCTTTTAACTCATCAGAGACTAAATATTCATCAACAAACTTATAAAGTTTTCTAGTTCGGATTCGATTAATGATCTCTCTTGACTTTGCCAAACCCTAAAAAGGATTATAAGATAAACTATTTATCTTAACACTACATGTACAAACATTTAACTGTAATTTACCGGTTCTTTTGAAAATTCAATTTGATTTAGGATTGTATCATTTAATTGCAAATAGTCTTCCGGATTATCGATACTTTTTGATATTCCGAGAATTGAATCTGCTTCAACTAAAGCATCACATAACATGTATTCTATGGCTTTGCCTGACATTTTACATAAATATTTACATAGGTAAATATTTAATTGAATCATAAAACTAAGAATAAACTGAACAAACTGTGTAAAATTCACTTACCAACGCGATGATTATAAACCTGCTTGTGTAAAGAATACCGTGTTTGAAACAATTCATAAATATTATAGCATTCCTTAAAATAATACGCAATTTGTTCATCGACAACACGTGAATATCTCATAAGTCTTGAGAAATCGAACACAGATTTCATCCCAAGATAGTAACAATCACGTTCCAGGTAATCAAATTTATCGACATCAATTGAATTGCGTTTATTTGCAACTACATCAAATAAATATCGAGATCGATTTGGACTAAATTTAAATTATCATATATGAATATTTCTTGAATATGATAATCACACAGCAATAGAATGTTCATAAATTTACCATTTGCTCCAATCCCCAGCGATTAAAGCTTTAATGAACTTTACATCATCTGTACCTAATTCAAAATCTATTTCATTAGTTTCTAAAAGATGATCAAACATCTTTTCAGAACCTATTTCATGTTTCCATTCAATATTGGGTCTTTTATATAAAAAAGGTGTTAATAATTAAATTATGTGATAGTAATGATTTAGAATGCTAGATAATTTCTTTAACTAACCTTGTACGTGGAATAACTTCATTATCGAAAGCATGACTAAATGGGCCATGTCCTATAAATTATACATCATCAATTCGAAATGGAATGGAGGACTTACGGTCAGTTCAGATTGATCAACATACCCAAATCATGACACAAGGCAGCTAATGTCACACATTCTAAATCTTTCTCAACTTCAAGGTCAGGCTGCCTGTCCTGAAGTCCTTTCACCAAAGAGTAGGCAAGATGTGCAACGCCTAAAATATAACAGATTAGTCTTGGACAAAATCATTCATGATCTCCTAATTTAGCCAGAATTATGGGTTTAATGTGACCTGATTTCGTTACCTATAGAATGTTCAAACCTATTGTGACTGGCACCAGGAAATACGTAATAAGTTGTTCCTAATTGCTTTATATTACGTAATCTTTGAAAATGTGGAGTATCGATGAATTGGATTACCCAATCATCGAATTCCATTAATCCCTATTAATAAATTAATTAATATGTTGTTTAAAATTGAGCCTAAAATTTATTTTATACGTTACATGGATAGGGTCGTTAATTCTCTTTGGCAACATAGAGTCAACATGCAGTTCGAAAGTTGAAATGTCACTTGTATTATAATTGCAAGGACTGAAAGACATGGTGAAAGCGAAGGTCCGTTTATATATAAATGAAAAGGAAAAAAAATTTGGAAGGAAACTATTGGCTATTTGCAATTCAGTATTAAAACGAGATAGTATAATAGTTTCAATATAACTATAAGAGGAAACAAAGAAAATATTTTAATATTTCATTTTTTCCTAAATGATTTACATTATGGAATTCAAACAAAAATTTTTAGAATAAAGAAGGATCTTTAGTTTTTTTTGTACAAATTTCTTAATTAGGTGAGATTAAAAATACCATATAACGCTATAATCTGGTAAAAAAAAAAATCAATGATGCAATTAATGCACATTTCATCAGATAATCAATTTTCAATTCCCTTTTTTCCTTAATTTTTTTTTGATATGCAAGATTACGCTCAACAAGAAAGTGATTTTCAAGCTGGAATTCCACCGCGTCTAATTTCAATATTTTATTCAGTATTTGATCTCAATAAAGGGCCAAAGGTAGTATTTGAAGTACCAGAAGGTTCCATAATATCCACAGGACTGTCAACATCGATCATAGATTTTGATTCAATTTCGGAGTATATTATACCAAAACAACAATTATGCGGACATTTAGTTAGTATATGTACTGAATCATATAAAATTATGGGATTCCCGGTGTATATAGAAGATGATAAGTATGAGAGGAATGCATTTATGTTTAATTTAAGTTTTGTATTTGACCGTGATGCCGATACTTCGAGTTATGAACCTGTTGTAAGAAAAGTTGCGAGAGTTCTAACTTCTTTAGAAGTAAGTTGCCGTAGAATTGTAATTTTATTACATTATCATCAAGTTAATTAATATTTCTTTTGAAAGACTGAAAATGAGTTTTTGTCAAATGAAGCTACAAAGGATGTTATGTACAATATTATCGAACAACTTCTTGAGGATCTTAATAGCTACTGCGAATGCCAAATCCCGATCAGTCAGTAATTATTTTTTTATTTAGCTATTCGCTTGATAGTAAATTCTAAATAAATATTATTAAATTATTTTCAGACTCTGCAAATACAATTAATTTAAAATTATTTCCAACTTATCGTAATCCTCCGCCAGTTTATGATTATCAAGTGCCAATTTGCACAGTTAATCTTAAAGCATTGATGGATGACAATTGGGATATTACGATGAAAAAGGCTAGTTGAGAATTTTGAAAAATTATTATTTAATTAACTAAAAAAGAACTTTATTCGTTTGAACGAATTAGATAGCGATGCATATAAATGGCATACATCATGTTAAAAAAATAGCAGAAATGGCGGATGTGGATTATGGACTTGCTAGAAAATGCATGGAACATTTGTTGTACGTGTATGCGAATGTTTTAATAAACTGGTTAATGTTTTATTTAATTTATTTTCATTAGGTATTATGGATGTGTTATCATGATTGATATTTTCCAGGTAATCAATAAAATAAAATTTATTTTCTTGACGCGTTATTTTTATAAGAACGTAAATACATTTTCAACTTCTTAGTTTTCAAATGTATATGCCGTAAAACCAGATATTATGAGAATAATTGAGGATGAAACAGTTCAGAGCGAATGTTTATCATATGTGAAAAAACCTGGTAAGCAAAATATTGACACCTATTCTGCGTTCCTTTGATATTAAGCATTTTTTTATTTGTAGGCACGACACCACCTTCGTTTGCCAAATTATTTTCTCTATACTGTTCATTAAAACATGGATCTACACTCAAAGAATGGGTTCAGGATAATCAAGTTGAGTCTCTGAATATAGACATAAGGTATTGTAAAAAAAAAATTTTTTACAAACTAGAGTTGAATTATTATTAACTGGTTATTTTTACAATTCCTGTAAACTTATTCAGACGTTTCATATCCTTTGGTGTAATCAAAGGGTTTTTATATCGAGTTCACAAATATCCAATATTACCTGAACCACATAACCAACAAAGTGAATTACCATCTCGACTGCGAAAGTGAGTAAAAAAATATCAAAAAAATATATATATTTCCTTTTATTTTTATTGATGTTCTCTTGCATACATTAAAGATTACTTAATGGGAAGCATCATTATGATGAGATCTGTACAATGGAGGGTTGTAGTGCCCGTAAACTAGATGAAATTCTTGCTGCTGAGCCTGAAGTCAAATTTATTTGGAGATAATTAAACTAATTTTTATATTTATGGTAATGAGATATTTTAGCTATTTAATTCTTAAGATGATTGGTAAGTATCAAAGTAAATAATGGGTATTAATTACTAACTTAAAATTACTAATAACATTAAAATGAAATACATTTATAAACGCGGTTATATATTATCACCTAATTTAATATCATGTAATTTACTCAAAAAAAAAACCATAATAATAAATATTATTATAGTGCTCCTAATATGATTACTTTTTGATGTCGTTCGTGTTGTTCGTGAATAAATCGTGATAATTAATATAAACTGTATCTAAGAAAGTTTATTTCGTTTCATTTTTTACTCATAATTGACTATTATAGTTTCAAGATTTAAGCTAAAGTTTATGTTAATCAATGCAATTGACTGACTCTCATGAGGAACAGACAACAATGACATTGACTATCGTAATTTTTTAACATCTTTTTAAATTTTTAAGCTTATAAAAATTTTATTATATTATTTATTGAAAGATAAAATAAAGTTCAACCTAAACTTTCAAATTTCTTTGTTTTCTTTACTTTCAGTAAAGTAAAAATATATATATATAATTTTCAGTTAAAAAGTTTTATACTAATTTAACTCGTTACAATTAGCAACATGTCTACGGAGGAATATTCCAAACCAATTAACCAAGAAAATATTGAAGTAATATCACCAACTTTAAAATTTGAATCATTATCTCGTTCGATTTTTGCTAATGATTCAAGGCAAAAACCAGAATTATTCTTTAAACACCAAAATCGGAATCCTTTTTTAAAGGAAAAAAGAATTGTTCATGACCAAGCCGCAGAGTTTTCTGATGCATCTGATATCAATACTAATATTAAAACTCCAAATGTATTTGCATCTCCGCTTTTCAGGACAAGAACACGTTTATCGTTTAAAGAATTTCAAAAGAAAGAGATTAATAATCCGCTAAGTTCACCCGCTGCTCAAAATAATATTGCAGGTTTATCTTTCGAGAAAAATGGAAAAGAATTAAAAGACACTACAAATGAGCCATTTAAACTTAACCCACCTAATTTTAAAAAGAAAACTATTTCAGACAAGGAAATTTTAAATCAAGGGAATTCCTCAGATAATAAAAAAGCAGTAGAACATCCTAATCAAGAACTTTCAATTCACGATAAATCTAACGATACTTTTGATCAAACACCCCCAATTCAAGAGAAACTTAGAAAGACTTCAGATGATGTGGATTATGTTGATTATAGTTTACTTGATAATCCTTCACCTCAATCTCTAGAATTGTCCGGGCAACCATTATCCGAGGATAAACATTTAGTTCATGATACAAAATCTGGTACTTGTACAGATCAGACAACTTTAGATTATAACGAAATAAAAGATAGTACCGATATACTTAAAGAAAATGACAAAGATATCACCGAAAAATCTAATTTATTTAAAAAACCACTTCCGGAAAATAATCAAAATAATACTAATTCCTATTGTTCTGGAAACCCTTCGAGCAATACTTCATCACCTCGAACACCTCGAACACAAATACAAATATCTTACTCAAAAGTTGATGATCAACAGCCAAAGCTTAAATTTCATGATAAAGTTGACTCTTCAAATCAGTTTCAAGTTATGGCAAACTTAAATAAGGATAACAATATATTTCCTAATACGGAACATAGCAATTCTGATACAAATGGTCATTTAAGAAGTGATGATGATTTAAATCTAATAGTTAAAGCTGTTCAAAGATGGAGAGATGAGGTGATTAGAAGAGATTACCTTATAGGAGAATTGGTGAGATGCGTTATATTTTCGCGTTTTATTTGTTAACTCTAATGAACTTTAGGAATCCAAACTAATATGATTGGTTATCAGCGTGGTCAGACTTTCACACTTCGCGATACTTTAGAACATAAAGAACATTCTTTATCTCATTATCGCGAGCGTATGTTTTTTGTGGAGTCAATGGTCAAACGTCAAAATAGTTATACTGAACGTAGTCGAGAAAGGATAAATAATGTCAAGTTAAAGTATTCTTTGTTTAGAAACCTACTTTGTAATATGGGCAAGAATATTGAAGAAATATATAGCCAGAAAGAAAGAATCGAAAAAGAGATCGAGTCAATGAGATTAGGTAAATGGCATTAACATTTCTTTTATTCGCTTATAAATACTCAAATTGAATTTTCTGATAAAAGAATTTAGTAAGCTTACTACTAAACATAAATCAACCTTGGATAATTACGCCGTAATATCTCAAACACGTATGTCTTTAGTATTTAAATTTATTGTTTTTTTTTATTAATATTTTAGATTTTTATAAAATTTTGGATATTTAGAGCAAGCTCAAACTGCACAAATTTCTGAACTTAACGCACATCTTAATAACGCTATAACTCAATCACGTCAAGGTACACAGGAGATAGATAACAAAGTATCGCGATCATCATCTGTTCTTGATGCTATTCGCTTAAAGTTAGAACATTTGTTAAATGAGCTTGAAAGTGAGAAGTCAGCATATGCAGAAGAATTTCAAAAACTCAAACTCAAATTTGAGCGTGCTGAAGAAGATAATCGAAATTTGGTAAAGTCGAATAAAGAAAATGAAGAAAAGTATGTTATTAATTTATAAACTGATAAATTTTTTATTTATCAACTGATAATTTCGTTCATTTATTTTAATTTAGAATTACTTCTCTAACAGCCAATAATGATCGGGAAATTGAGTCCGCCAAATTGGAATGCACCCGATTGAATTCAATAATTAAGGAGAAAGATGAGCGGTAGATTTTTTTAAAGATAAGATTATACATTTATATATTCACCTTCTCTTTACCTTACGCGGGTTTTTCCTTTATAGAATAAATCAGTTAGGCATAGTTGAAAAGGAAAAAGATGAGTTTAAAGTAGAGATTAGCCAAGCAAAGGATTATGCGGAAAAAGAAGTTCATTCACTCAAACAAGAGATGGAAATGACGCGTGCTCGACATGAAATTGATATTAAGTGTGTCGAAGCAAAATTTCGTGAGGACCATTATATACTACAGAATGATTTTCACAAAGAACGCTGTCAGTTTGAAGCCAAATTGCGTGAAGAACGTATTCGGTTAGAATCAGAATACCGTGAGGAACGTACTCATCGTTCACGTCTAGAAGACGAATGTCGGGACGAAATATCAAAGCGCTTTAGAATTGAAATTGAATTGAGAAGTTCTGAACAAAAAATAGAAGAATTATCCAAGACTAACGATAAAAATAATATAAGGTAGACTGAGTTGTCTAATGCTACGGACATTAATTTTGTTACTTAAAAAAAAAATTATGTTAAATCATTAAATAGGATTGCACAATTAGAATCTCAATTAAACGAAATAGATCGCCGTCAAACGGACATTTCTACTGGTACTTAATTTCTTTCTTAAACCATATTAAATGAACGATTATATAAAATTTAATTGTAAATTTTAGTCGCTGTTGGAACAGCTGATATCCTGGAGCTGGATCTTCAAATTGAGCATAAAAAAATTGTTTCTGAACTTAGTCAAGAAAGCTTTGATGATAAAAAGAGAATTGAAGAATTAATATCTGAGCTGGAGACTTGGAAAGTAAAATATAGATAAATTTATTTTATCCATACTCTTCCTTATAATAAAACCATTAATTTCATGTTTTATCTTCTAAGTCAAGGGCTAGTTCATTTGAATCACAACTGACTTCATTGAAATTAAAATATGACGAGTTGCAAAACGAACACAGCAGATCCCTTGTGGAGATTAGTAACAATTATCTGCAGGTAATTTCCGTTTACTTACTTTAAATGTGAGATCAGACCATTAATCAGTCTAAACTTCAATAATTTAGAACAAAGAAGCAGTGAATAAAGCGCTTAAACTCGCTGCTAACGATTACCAGGAAACAGTTAAGAGAATTAATATAGAACATGAAAGTGAGATTCGTAAACGTGATTGTAAAATTCGTGAAGCGGAAACAAAAGAGGCTTTTTTAACAGAAGAAAATGTATGTTGATTTTTTTGAATCGAGAATAATCATTATATTCATTTATTGCTACTATTCTTTTTCTAGCAAGCGTTAAAATCCAAGCTATCCGAAATGGAAAATCATAATAAATCTTTACAATGCCAATTAGTAAGTATTTTATATATTTTTGTTATTTATAAATTTAGATCTGATTTTCGAACCGAAACAAAACGTTTAGGATTCTTTGGAAAACAATGTTAATTCGGAAAATGTCGCATCGGCTTCTGAAAAAGTAAAGATATGGATAAATTTCATCACTGTTAACACTGATTAATATTTGTTTTGTTGTAGAATAAAGTAAACTTAGAAAGTAGTGACTCAGTAATATCTAAACTTTCTCCGCCCGGAGTAAATGTCGATTCATTTTCTTTCAAATATTGGATTTGAATAAATAATAAAAAAATTATTAACTAGATTATTAATGAAAAAGGAATGTGGAAATTCGAGAATTACCCAAGAAAACTCAGAGATTTTAAAAAATGAACAACATTATCAATTTGCTCGTAGACTTTTAACATTAACCGAAATTGATGCAATGATCTTGGTGATTTTATTTTATTTACATTCATTTTTATAAACTTATTTATTCATTTAAATATAACATATAGGAATCAACATCGGGGAGATTCACTAATGTAGATACAAAAGTTAATGATGTTCGAAAAACAGAGGAACTTAATAATACTTTAATGGTGAGTTGTTGAAATACACCTAGAATTAATAAATTACTAAATTACTATAAATATGTTGTTTTTATTATAGTTACAAGAAACCGAACACGTTTCCCAAAATGTTATAATTCAATCAGGACAAACTAATAATGATTTATTTGATTCTTGTCAAAATTCTAATAATATGAGAGATATAGATGACTGGTTATCACCTGGTACTAAATTGAGGTCAAAACGACGAAAGGTAATTTGTGTACTTGCAATTTATCCCCTTTATTTTGTATTCTTTTTTTTAATATTTTTTTTAAAAAAATAATTAAATTTAAAAGAGAGATTATCCGGAAAGTGGGAATAAGCCTGAACCAATTGAACGATTTCCTGTTCAAGCAAAAAATGTTTCTATGAATGTTGATGTGAAAGAAGAATCGAAGTTAGAGGCAAGCTTCCGATTCAGAAGTAAATCGAAGGTTGGACGTCGATTTACAACCGGAAGAGCTAATGGAAGAGAGTAAATATGGCATTGATGAATATATTGTGGTGTATCTTTCTAATCATATAATTGAAAGATTATAACAATATCTGTATAAAACAAATGACAAAAAAAACTTTTATCTAATTGATCATAATTAATAACGATTAGGAAATTTCGTATACTTTGCATAGGTGTACATCATAAATAATAATATAATTATTTCTCTATTTATAAAATAACGTTTGCTTAAAAATAGAAAGTTTTTAATTACTCTTTATCGTTGAGAATTAAAATTAAAGAACAACGAAAAATCAAATAGCAGTGTCACACAAAGATAACAATCAGAATGTCGTTTTTGCTTCCCAGAATATCGGACTTACTGTTTATACAAAATGCAGGTAAGACGGATGTTATCTTTTAAATCTGTTTACTATTAACCGGAAATTTTAAGACTATGACGACCTAGCCTCAAAAAAACCAGCAAATCAGAAAAAAAGCCACAAAAAAAACCTGGCACAACTATAAATAAACAACATTCATTATATAAATAGTTTAAAAGGAATTCCAAAAACTTCCGAAGGGAGATAAGTTTGATAGGTGGGTTAATAAATTGTATAAATTCAGCACATCATCCCCTATACCTAAATACCAAGCAACCAAACAAAAATTTTTTTAATAAAAAGAAAAAACTTCTGAAGGAATAAAACAATGCCACCCAATCCTCCAGAAGAGTTTTCGCCTGTTAACGTTACTAGCTCGTATGCAGAAGATATAGCGGAGGCACAAATTTATTCAACACCAAAACTTACATCAAAAAGGAGAACAACTAATCCTTATAACTCATCTTCCTTTCAAACTTCTAATCTTAATAATATGAGCACCACAATAACAGCAACAACAATAAACGGAATTGTTGCGGATAGTCCTCGAATAGATATGGAGTTTGTAACTAATGGGTATAGTAGTAGTCAGCAAGCAAAACAACAGGGACCAACACGGAAGAGATCGTTTTCAAAACCATCAGAAGGTCATACAACATTATCCTCAACGGTACCAAATATACATATGTTTAAAAATGGGTTGCAGAATTTAGACTTTGTAACGCAGCATAATTATGAAAGTCTTATAGGAAAATTACGTCAACATGAAGAAGAAAAAGTTAATCCTCTTAATTTTAGGGATCCAGGGATTTCACGTGAAAAATCAAAAATTAAAACAAAATTTTCGCCTTTAAACCTTACAAAAATTAAATTTAATATATTTAATACATTTAATACATTAAATTACGACACGCTAAAATTTTTAGTATATTGTTTGTGTTGGTATGCGTCTTCAGCCATAACTAATAACACTGGCAAACAATTATTAAATCAGTTTAATTATCCGGTTACTCTTACGTGGATACAATTTGGATTTGTTGGAATTTATTGTTATTCTTTTGGACAAGGAATGGGTTTAACTAAAATTCGAAGTCCATCCATTGATATTATACGCAGAACTTTACCGTTATGTTTATTTCAAATAGGGAGTCATGTTTTTTCGAGTATTGCTACATCTCAAGTTCCAGTTAGTTTTGTTCACACAATAAAGGTAAGGACGAAGTGAGAGTAGAGTAGACGAAGAGAAAATCGTTAACTATATTCTTTTTCTTTTCTTCTATAGGCGTTATCACCATTATTTACAGTGTTTTTTTATAGATTTGGGTTTGGAGTAAATTATTCTTATCCGGTATATGTGTCATTAATACCACTCACAATTGGAGTTATGCTCGCGTGTTCGTCCTCAGCAGCATCAAGTTTTATTGGATTCTTATTTGCACTAATTTCTACCGTAATTTTTGTTGCCCAAAATATTTTTTCAAAAAAAATTCTCTTTAATGAGAAACATTCTGGGTATGAGACACATAAGTTGGATAAATTGAATGTTTCATTTTATTCAAGTTTATTAGCATTTAGTATAATGACTCCAATGTGGCTATATTATGATGGTTTTCATTTACTATTAGAATATTTTACATCATCATCAACCGATACTAATGCTGCAAGTGGATGGACGATACTATTTTATTTTTGGCTAAATGGCACAACGCATTTTACGCAAGTCATTTTAGCATTATCAATCTTATCGATGACATCACCTGTAACTTATTCGATCGCATCATTAGTGAAAAGAATTTTTGTTATAACTGCCAGTATATTGTGGTTTGGACAAAAAACCACTTTTATACAAGGTGTTGGTATAACATTAACTTTTGTTGGTCTTTATATGTATAATGAAGCTAAATTAGATGTAGACAGAAAAGAAAGAAAAGCAAGGGAAAGAGATGAGATTGTCTTACCTCTAACAAATCTGAAAGTCAATTAGATTTATCAGAAAAAAATATAATGTTACATTTAGTACTTTATAATAATTAATAATAATGTAATTGTTTGTAAAACTATATAAAAAGAATATGTTTATTAATTACAAATTGACATTTTTTATTAATTCAAAAGTAAAAAAATTTGTATTATTGGTAATTTAGATTTTTACTTAAAAAAACCATAACAATACAAAATAAAAATACATACATTTTAACAAACTATTTATAAAGTAATTATAATACAGTAATTTGTATAATTGATAATAAAATATAATGCATAAATTAAGTTATAATGATTAGTTATAATGATTTTTTTTTAAAAAAAACGAAGCTTAGTAATTTTTTTATACCAATTAATCTATTTTTTTCTTTATAAATTATATTTATTAGTTTTAAAAATAACTAACTTTAATAGAACTCTAAATTATACTAATTTAACTTAGATTTAAGTTTGTACCCAATTTTAATGATCAACTGTATATATCTAATTTATACAATTTATGGCCAGAATGTAGATCAATTTGGCTGCAAAATTATGTGACGATCTGGTCAAAATTAAAGAATTTTTTATAGTATTATTTATCTTAATTTAGAAATTGTGAGCAAATTTGCCTACAATACGGTTTAAGAGATGATATAGATCTTAATTATAAGTTTATTATTCAATTTATGCAAAAAAAAATCATACTATATAATACAATTTATATATATATCTTAATAAAAGAATTTTTTTTTTAAAAAAAAAAATTATCTTTAAAGGAAACAGGTTATTTTATTAGTAGATTGGTAAATAAAAATATATTAATAAGATAAACTCTACTCATCATAGTGCAATGACAAATATACTTCATGAGAAATAAGAGAAATCTAATAATAGTAAAATCATATTTTTATTATTAATATTGACTGAATCACTGAAATATACTTTTTTATTTAAACTGTATAAGTTATATTAGTATTATTTAAAACTATAGAAGGTTTAATTATAAATATACCAGTTCTCTAATAATAGATATAATGATTTTATATTATTGAAAGATATGTAAAAATCTGAGAAGTATTAAAAGGTAACTGATTGATTATATTAATTGGGATTTTTTAAAAATTGAATCTAAAACTAATTTGAATTTGTCAAATCCAAATCAAATTTAAATTAAAATGTCAAATCAAATTGCAAAACCTAGTATTAATACTAAAATCTTTTTTTATAAACTAATAAATTATGTCTATACTAAAAAATTTTAAATTTAAAAAACTTTAAACCTAAAAATGTAACATAAAAAAAAAAAAATAATTTCTATATAATATATTATAAACTCGTTTATAAATAATCATTAAATTTGAAAAGTTCGATGGAGAGTTAGCTGACACAAGTCACACAACCGATTACAAAAGGGTAATGGACCACGTTTTGGAAGATATAGCTATGAACTATGAAGCATAAGACCTGCATTCACGTCACTAGTGCAAACGAAGCAACAAGACGCGAACCTATTTCTTCCGTTCTTCATGGCGTAGCCTCTTGTTATGATGGCGAAGTGAAAGTATGTCCAGAATACGAGTTACCTGGAAGTCATGGTAAAGGGCCATTGGATTGGATTATAAGACACGATTATCGTTGTTACTGAGGCTAAAAGAGAGGATATTAACTAGGGGGTTGGTCAGAATGCAATCCAATTACAAGCTTCATCCCAGCGTAATAAAAAGAAACACACATATAATGAGGCTTTGCGCGAAGATGTAATGTATGGTATTGTTTCGACAGGGGTCGACTGGGTCATAATTAAGTTAGTTACTACTACTGGCGAATATAACGATAGCGATAATGGGAATGTCGAGGTATTATTGAGTTCGCGAACACCATTTGCTTTTCCCATTAATGAGAGTGTATTCGATAAAGTCTTGCTTGAAAAACTCAAGAACTTGTTCGGGCAAATTAATGGGTGTTTGGTCGCCAGATTGAATCGCAGGAATCATTGAAGCGGGTAAAAACAGAAAATAAATAAGATAGTCATATCTTTTTCGAAAAAAAATATCGTATGTATAGACATTAGAATAGAAAAAAAAATTCGTCATGTATCGCGGGCTACGTCCCGAACCTTTGTATTTATTTTTGCATGTATTAATAAAAAATTTTCTTGGCAAAAGTAATCAGATGCTTATACAGGTTGAGATATGCAAATTTTATTAGAATTAATAAAGTATTTTATTCCGCCATTTTTTTTATTTTGTACATATTATATATAAAGTGCATTAGCCCAAATTTTTATGTCTATTTTTTTTGTAAAAATTCTATTGCTAATCTACATAGCACGAAATATTGCTTGCTGGATAGGAAAGAAATCAATAACCACATTGTTGATTGGGTATGGTGGGACTCGAGGACAGCCACGGAAAATACAACCTGGAAAAATATTCATAATACACATTCCTGGGGCGGTACATCCATTATACGGTTGATTATGCCTATCAATGGTTCCGAATTCAACCTAAAAAAAATACATGCATAAATGATATTGAAAAAAAAAGCAAATGCCAAGAATACTAATTCTTACAATTTGTACTGGTTGGTAATTTCCGTGTACGTTTACTACACCATTTCTACGACAGAATTTATAGCACTGCCAAAAACACAGGACAATTATTAGACAAATGAAATAAATGAAATGACACCAAAAAAAGTAATACTGAACTGTGAAACGGCGCAAAGGAGTTCCGTTTTGATCTCTTCCTAAAGTCCATTTCCATAATTTTAGTACAAACACGTCCTCTACACGGTTCGGAGCCAACCAGAATTGAGTAGTCTTATGCATTATTCTCGAAAGACTTTCTGAATTAGCCACCTCAATGATAATGGTAGGCCAAGGATTACCCTATAAACCATTATAGATTCAGATGATTCAGATTGGTCTTTGTATTTTCAATAATATAATTCAAGAGAAGATCACAAGGGTTTGGGGCTGGCTTAGGCAGAAGTGTTGGTACAAATGAATCATCCGGCTGTTTACTAGAACCCCTTGTTATACGTCCTGGGGTAGCATGACAAGCTGGATACAACAAAATCAATATAGTAATATACATTCACAAACAAACACTAAAGTACATACTTGTTGATCCCGAAGAATCAACTGCATCTTGAGGATCCTGACGTTTAAATTGATTAGAGAATGTACGATGTGCAACTTCATGATCACGATTTGGCAACTCGATTATGACTACAATTCCGTCTAGAAACTCCCAGCACCTTGCTGCGTTCGCGATCTCACATTTTTTTTCGAACTCTTCATAACTTACACCTTCAATAAGGATCAGAGGGAGTCTAATAAAATGAAACAAATTTAGCGTGAACATTGAGAATCGAATTTATGTAGTGTTATGACTATGACTTTACCTATTTTCGTCAATGATTTTGTAATTACCGTCGACCCACCATTTTTTCTCCCTCGCTTTATTAGTGATGACTTCTTCCACATTAGCATCGATAACTTCAATACATTCCTGAAACGCCAACTCATCTGCAGTTAGATCTAAGGAAGTTACGGATGTTACTGAACCTCTACGAGAACTTGAAGCAGTTGATGAGGAGATGCTTAGAATAGAGGCTAAGGAACTTCGACGAGAAGATACAAAAGACTCGTTTACTGTTGTGGACATTTTTAGAACCAAGGGATATAATCACTGATAACTAAAGGTTAAGTTGACAGTTTTTATAGTTATCAAAATACGTGATATGACGCAATAATTAGTAATTGGAGTGTGGGAGTGTGTATTCCCAAGACACATGAATATAAAGAAGAAAGATCATTCTTCAATTCGGTAAAAGTCACCAAGAAAACATCTACGAGAATTTGAGCCATGGAAGGAATAGAAATGTAAAGTGATGTTAAATTGTTTAATGAAAAAATGTATGAATTATAAAATAGTTTGGCGCATGTTATGAAATACAGTTGAAATACGTTACTGCGGAACTTTCTTAAATAGTAATCATGTGACTTTATAGAGCTGTCACATGTTAGATTTAGTGAAAGAAACGACAATAAAAAATTAAGGCCTTGGACGAGATGCTTAACAAATAATGTTTTTGCAGTGGAGCATCTTCAATAAATCAATTTATTTGTATTTATACTTGTAATTACCAAATTGCTTTTAGCCAAATTATACTATTATTATCAAAGTAAAAATTATGTTGAAACAAAAGAATATTTTCTTATTCCATCTATTTAAATATTTATTTATAATACCTTGTAGGAACAAACGGCATTTTAACAACTTGAGCCTTTTGCATGCGATTTCTAACTTTAACCTGAAGTTCAGTTGAGAGTTTGTGATATCCTGATTTAACATAACCCATCGCAATATTTTTTTGCAATGAAGGAGATGGTCCCCCACTTGTTACTTTGCCTAATAAGACAAAAATAAATAAATACTATAATAGAAAGATATAAATAAAAAATATGTCTTACCAATTAACTCGTCTTTGTTATTGTAAATTTCAGCATTTTCTGATCAAACAATCTATATTAATATTGTCTATAAATACCAAAAAGAAGTTGTAAAAAATACCTCTTGCCGGTGCACCTTCAACAATAAAACCAATTCGTCGACGCATTACTCCTCCTTTTATTTGAGGTATTACATGTTCAGCTCCTAAAAAATCACTTTCTTTTCTTCTTCGTTTGCCTATTAAATAAAATACGAACATTAAACGTTAAAAAGTGTAAACTTGACAATAACTTAATAAACAAATTGAAATACCAATTGTCCACGTTAAACCGGCTTCTACCGGTGTCGTTGTTTCATCAAGATCATGACCATACAAACATAATCCAGCTTCTAATCGCAAACTATCGCGAGCACCTAACCCAGCTAGTTGAACACTGGGATATTTTAAAAGAAGGTTTGCTAAATGTACAGAAGCTGGTGACGGAACGCCAATCTTATAATAATATTGAAAAATTATAATTCATTAAATTTAAGTTAAAGGAATGAAATAATTTTTGAAAATAGCATAGTTATTAATAATAGCAAAGTTATTAATAATAATATACAAAGTATACAAAGATAGTGAAATTAAATTATAAGTAAAAGTAAAATAATTTTTACCTCAAACCCATCTTCCCCAGTATATCCTGAACGCGTCACATGACAATCAAAGCCTTTTATGTTCAGATGGCGTGCCGTCATAAACATAAAATCACTCAAGTCTTTATCGCATAACTCTTGAAGAACTGATGCAGCTTTGGGACCTATTTAAAAATATAGATTTACGTTCTTTTATAATAATAATACTTTCGAAATTGATTAATACCTTGCAGAGCCAACAAAGCATGATCATCAATAATTTTTAAATTAACATCGCCACCTCGTTGCTGAAATTTGTTTATTTCTTTACGAATATGAGTAGTATCTTTATCAGCACAAGCGGCATTAGAGACTATATGAATGTGATCATTATGTTTGCATATAACAGTATCATCAATAATGCCTCCATTTTCGTTAGTGAAAACTGATAAAATAGAATTATCAACTGGTAATTCTTCTAGATCAGCCACGACTAACTTTTCAAGAAAAGACACACGATCTCTTCCAGTAAGTCTAAGAAGATATATAGATTAAAAATTAGCAACCGCTATGGATTAGACAGTCATCATAAAAGGGACGATGATCTTGTCGATTTACCTCATCTGGAGCATATGTGATACATCGAATAATGAAGCGTTCTCACGAGTGTGCAGATGCGACGCTAGCACTCCTAAGCTTGAATATTGAACTGGCATAGACCAACCAGCAAAAGGAACCTAAAATATACGTATATATATATCGATAATGATACTTTTTCTTGAATAATTTTAGAAAATATAAAAATTTAATGACTCACCATTTTCCCGCCATTTTCAACGTGAAAGTCGTACAAAGGTGTCTTTTTCAAAGGCTATGTAAAAATTAAATCGAAAGTTAAACATGAACGTTGTTAATAAAAAAATTCTAGAGGATAGAATTTAATAAAAATTACCAATTTATGTTCAAAAAACGTGCTAAATTATATGGTGTTATTTAAAACTGACATTATTGTTACCTCTTCAGTGGAAACTGCATAATTTCGCTTATGCGTGGTTGAAAATAAACCTAAAACTTTGTTGGAATATAGCCTTACGCCTAACGCGCTATATTTAAATTTTGAGAAGGCACAACTCATAATAATAAAAAATGAGAATTTCACCATACAAAAAAGACAATCTTTATATTATATATCACGGACGTGATATACGCATTCAGTTTTTCCAAATATGTACAATCTTTTTAATCCATTGGATTCCTTGCTTTTGGGTCATTAGCGTGTGGCGGCGAATGTTTTTTAAACCGGCCTTATCAACTTTAACCCAAAATTTTAACGGAACAATTTAAAATTATTTCACGATGGAAATGGAACGTAGAAAAGAAGAGTTAGAAAAGAAAAGGCAAAAACTTGCCGAACTTCGTCGTGCAAGAGAAGAGAGGAAACAAGTGTTTACCACTGCGACTCAGAAACAAGAGGAAAAATCTGTGGTTAGCAACATAAATTTCGTGTTTTTTACAAAGACGATTTTAATATTCAGCTTTAGTTTACCTTTTTTGTTTATATAGGAAAGGAGTCGCAAGGAACAGATCGATGATCTTGTCAAATCCCTGTTAAAAGACAAAGCTACTGGAGACCATCCTGGAACACCAACATCATCAAAATCTGACGACGTAGAGCCCGAAAAGGGAATAACCTCACATCATGCACGTCTCAGTTCTATTTCCACAGGTTATTCGCCTGGAACTTCTGTTCCTCAAAGGTAAAGTTTATAAACTGTCCGTCAATATTTGAATGCTTGTAAATAATAGTTTTAATTTTTGAATGATGCAGTCCGAGTATATTGGCACCTTCCCGTTATATTCCAGATTTCTCTTCTTTCGAAGCAGTAATATTAGATATTGCTCCAAAGGTAGTTAGTAATTGAATTCTATTATTTATCATAATAAATTACTGATTTTCTTACAATTATCACTATCCATTAGGAACTCATTCTTTACAGTAAAGAAGTTCAAACCACTGAAAGATCCTTTGGACCACCACCACCTAACGAAGACGAAATCCGAGCTAAATTTTTAAAAGAACAAGAGGAAAAAGAAAAAGCACGTCAAGCTGCTCTGGAAGAAGAAAGATCGAGATTGGAAGATGAAAAGAAGAAAATGCAACAACTTAAAGATATTTCAGAAGATGTTAGAAAAAAGATTATTAGTTCAAATGAATTTGTTGAATTTATTGATCATTCAACTAAAATTGTTGAGAGAGTGCTTAATGAAAATTATGATTATATGAAAGATTATTCAATTATTAAGGACAATGAGAAGTAAGATATTTTTTTTTTTTTTACTAAAAGTGTTATTTATTTATTTATTCATCCTTATATTATCCTATATAAAAGTGATGACCAGTCAGGCTCCAGGGTTAAATATGTAAACTCATTCTTTGACGACCGATGGACCAAAAATCGTTCAGTCACTGATGTAAATTGGTCGCGCAAAGTAAATATATGTCTAAATATTTTTTGATTTATTGTTTTTCAGTGATCTAAAATATTAGGATATTAATAAAATTGTTGTTTTAGAATCCTGAAATTTGTGTTGCTTCATATAATAAAAACCCTATGGCAATGAATGAACCAGACGGTGTCGCTGTAGTATGGAGTTTAAAATTATTAGAACGACCCGAATATGTTTTCCATTCGCAGGTACTTCTTCTTTCACTATAGTAAATTTTTAAAAGTAATATAATACATAACCTAACCCTCTCATCAATTCTCATCAATGTCCTTTACCTGTCGTAGTCGGATGTTCTTACTACAATGTTCTCTGAGTTTCACCCAACTCTTGTAATAGGAGGAACATATTCAGGTCAAATAGTTCTTTGGGACATGAGATCAAAATCTTTACCTGTTCTCAAAACACCTCTTTCAGCTTCTGGGCATACTCATCCTGTATACTCAATGCAAATGGTGGGGACACAAAATGCTCATAATCTCATCACTGCAAGTACGGATGGATTAATATGTTCTTGGCAATTGGATATGTTAGCTCAACCACAGGTAATTATTGATTTTTCGTGGTTTAAACAGTGATTTAATGGATTGTTTTATTTTATTTTTTTTTTCTTTTCTTCTCTTCTTAGGAAACCCTAGAACTAGTTCATGCCGAACATAGCAAGACAGACGAAGTTTCGGTTACAGCTCTTGGTTTTCCAGAAAATGAAACTGCAGCTTTCTGGGTTGGTACGGAAGAGGGTATTGCTTATCAAGCTAATAGATATGGCCGTGCTGGCGGGTAAAGAACTTAATTGATTTCTATGATGCAATAAGAACATAACATCAGATGCTAAGGCTTTCTTTTTTATTAACAACAGCAAAGCCGGTATTAATCCATATGATGTATATAAAGGACATTGGGGACCTATTACAGGTCTTCATTTTCATCCTATGACTGGTCAACATAACTTTTCAGATTTATTTTTGACTTCTTCTGTGGACTGGACATGTAAATTGTGGAGAGCTAAAGTAAGATAGAAAAGAAACCAACAATTTATCTTATACAAGACAGTAATTAGTACTAATTTAAATTTTTTCCATTAAAAATAGTCTATTTCAAAACCATCGACATCACCACAGACAATTACTCCATTATATTCATTTGAAGGCGCTGATGATTATGTTTATGATGTTAAATGGTCCCCCACACATCCAGCTCTGTTTGCTTCTGTAGACGGTACAGGAAAATTCTCTTTGTGGAATTTGAATGTTGACACAGAGGTAAGAACCCATTTTTTTAAAAGTTTATTAGAGTTAGAGTTTAAATTCTCACATTATATTTAATAGGTGCCAATTGTGAGTACTCAAGTTGGAAGTCAAGCTAAAGCTTTGAATAAAATTAATTGGGACAAGGAAGGGCGAAAGACAGCAATCGGTTCTTCGGATGGTCGAGTCCATATTTATGATATTGGAGAGGTAATTTTTAGTTATATAAATATTTACTTAGAACCGTCCCATTTTATTGAAATTTTTTTTTTTAGTTGGCAAATCCACGTGATGATGAATGGGAAATCTTGCATAAAACGATTTCTGAAATGACTACTGAGAATCATAATGGAAGATACGTTGTTGCCAAGTAATAAATATGTAAATCAGTAATAAAAATAATTTTAATTTTATTATAAACTTTTTAATAACAATTTGATCATAATTAATTAAGTCATAATATTTATGATTAGAAGTATATAGTATTTTTATATATTTTATTTTATTTTCCTTCAAGAATTATACTTTGTGGAATATTTTATATTATAATCTTTATTCTAGGTACTTTTAAAAAGTGTAGTTGTAATACTATAAATATCAATTTAATAAATTTACTTAAATCATTTCAGTATCTGAAATTTTTATATACCTATTTTAAGTATTATATTTGACTGATATCAAGTACCTTTTTTACTATAGAAGTAGAATGCAACTTTTGGTTTTTTTTTCTTTGTAAAGGTATGATCATGTTTATTGTTAATAATGTTAAAGTAATTACAAAAGTAAATAAATTTAAACATTATTAATATACTGAGTGAAGTAAAAGATCAACATCACAGTGGGGCTTCTCCCGAAGGAAAAGACTGACCTGTCATCTTGAGATCAAAGGTAACATGTTATAAAAGACTCAAAATTTTGACCAATTACCTTTTCATTCAAACCATCTCTTAAAAGAGACCATATTTCTTTTTTAATTAAAGTTATCTATACATAAATAATGTTAGATGTAAAATGATAAATGTTGGATATAAAATAAGTTTTATTTAAAAAATAAAAGAAAAAATTAAAATAATATCACAACATAAAAATAATAAAAACTAGGTCTTTTTACAACAGAACTAATAAGTTATTTGTGATTGTTGCATTTATCATATTTAACTGAACTTTACATTTAGCTTTCTTATGCTTTTCTAATACTTGCAATATTTTATTATACTACTAATTAATGATATTTATATCCAGCTTCTATAAAAGTAAGATGCCTTTTGTAAATATATAATGCATCACTCTATAATTTTTCTCTATTGCAACTTTCCTTTCATGAAGTATACCTTCTTTAAATATTCAGATCATAGTAATATCATCTTTATCAAAAGTATAATTAAAAAAATTTTACCTATCAGCTTATTGAATTACTTATGACTGACCACTTCACTGTATAGAAGTGTTAAGTTGCTTGACTTAATATAATATTTTTTTAAAATAACATAATAAGATATATAAGCATTAGTTACTATCTCTTCATTATTAAATAGCTTTTATCTTATATTATCTCTTTAAATATCAACTGGTAATTAATCAGTTTATTATTTTTGGTCATTGATAAGATTACCTGTTATCACCCAACTTCTGCCGCAAGCTGAATAAACAAGATTTCTCCCTAAATTTATCTTTAAAATAATTCTCAACAAAATATTAATTTATTTTTGCTTGGTTTAAATTTTTACATTTATTTATTTACTTAACTTTCAAACTTTGATAGTTTCTTTTTCATAAATTCTCTGTATCTCAACTTATAAATCACAATAATTTCCTATAATTTATTTTTTTTTAAACTCAAATATTCATTCAAGACTCCATTTGGTTAAACTTTGTGATGAACAAGTCCCAATAGACCGAGTACATAATCATTTTTTTCTCAAAATATGGCATACTTAGAAATTTCTTTTCCTTAATGGTATTATCATTTCTTACCATTTCCCAAATTCTTTTGGAATATGAAGTGGGTCTCCTCCTATAATTTCTGTATGATATCTTTTGGATAAGACGCGCACTTCCATCTTTGTACAAAAATGATTCTTAACAAGTCTGCAGCTTCAACATGATTACTTTTATCATTGATTTTTATTAATTTCCAACAATAAAAGCAAATGGCCATATGACTCTTATAAATTCTTTGCCCATAATTCTTGTAATAGAATTCGCACATTTATTGCCCAAGAAGTTAAAGTCAGTCTAGGCTTCACAATTGATAATTTGTCAAATTCCTTTTCCATTTCAGTTATTTCATTCTTCCATTCCTTGAAATGACTATATTCATATCCTTGATTAGTATTAACATTACACATGCAGAATATAGACCATAAATATGCATGAACATAATCTATATCACTAGTAAAAAACTAGGTAAATGTGGCATAGTAGCTCTTATCTTTATTAAATTTATTCAAACTTTACAATTTACAAAAAAATAAAAAGAAAAATATAAAATAAAACTAACTAAAAACAAAGTTATATAGTCTCCTAAGAAAAAATAAAGTAAAAAAAATTAATCTAAAAAGAAAAATCGCATTACACTAAATTTCCCCAGATCTTTCCCCTTGATATATTCCAACTAAAGTAGAAGCAACTATGTTAACAAAATAACGAATAGCACGCCCACTATAAAAATCGACACTCCATCCTGCAAAAGCTGTTATTTAGTAGCACTGTTAGACGACCCATAAAACTTAAAAGTGATTAAACTAAGGTAAACTATATTTTATCGAGTTCTTCAACCAATCAGTTCTGAAGTCACGTGAATCGTGTAGGGTCAGAGGTGGTAAAGATGAGTAAAGCGTGTACGTTGACAATGGCAAATTAGAAGGTCTCAGAGTAGTTTTCAACTTGTAAGTAATATTCATCATGTTTTCCCATCTACTTTTCTCATAAGAACGTGAGTTCCAAATTCGTCTTCTGAATTTCTGAACAAAATTGTTATAGATAGCAGCGACAACCTTTATCACAGAATTTCTTGGAATAGATAAGTCAACAAATAAGTCAACAAAGAGCTTGGGTAAATAGCCACGGACAAGGGCATAGAAGGACCAATTTGTAGAAGAAAAGGACTAACATGAAAGAGAAGTAAGTATAGTAATAAATGGAGATAAATCAATATCAGCCAATTTTCCAGCTTCATGAATTTTAGAAACTAAATGATTTTGATAAGAATGGAGAATTTGTTGCATAGATAGACGATGTTGTTTGCACATAAAAAGGTGCATCAAACTGGTCAAAAACTAGGTAAATGTGGCATAGTAGCCTTTATCTTTATTAAATTTATTTGAACTTTACAATTTACAAGAAAATTAAAAAGAAAATTAAAAAAATAAAACTAACTAAAAACAAAGCTATATAGTCTCCTAAGAAAAAATAAAGTAAAAAAATTAATCTAAAAAAAAAAAATCGCATTACACTAAATTTCCCCAGATCTTCCCCTTTGATATATTCCAACCAAAGTAGAAGCAACTATGCTAACAAAATAATGAATAGCATGCCCACTATAAAAATCGACACTCCATCCTGCAAAAGCTGTTATTAAGTAGCACCATTAGACGACCCATAAAACCCGAAAAGTGATTAAATTAAGGCAAACCATATTTCATCGAGTTCTTTAACCAATCAGTTCCAGAGTCACGTGAATCGTGTAGGGTCGGAGGAGGTAAAGATGAGTAAGGTATGTACGTTGACAATGGCAAATTAGATGGCATCGGAGTAGTTTTCAATTTATAGGTAATATTCATCGCGTTTTCCCATCTACTTTTTTCATAAGAACGCGAATTCCAAATTCGTCTTCTGAATTTTTGGACAAAATTATTATGAATAGCAGCGATGACCTTTATCGCAGAAAGCCTTGGAATGGATAAATCGACGAATAAGTCAATAAAGAGTTTGGGTAGACAACCACGGACTAGGGCATAGGAGGACCAATTTGTAGAAGAAAAGGACCAGCATGAAAGATAAGTGAGTTTAGCAATAAATGGAGTGGAATCAATGTCAGCCAATTTACCGGCTTCCAGAATTTTGGAAATCAAATGATTTTGATAAGATTGAAGAATTTGTTGCATAGGTAGACGATGTCTTTTGCACATAAAAAGGTGCATCAGGTCTTCCATGCGGTTGATACAAGAACGGCAAGTTAATTCGTCCATGTATAAGTCTGGTCGAATCCGTTTAAGCTTTTCCAATGTAGGCAAATCATCCAAGAAAAGTTTGAATTTAAAGGTTAGGTGTTTTGAAGCGTGCTCAGGAGTAAAGGATGCATCATAAGAAGGCTTGAAATTTAAAGTGAACCAGGTAAGATCCCAGTCGACAATATAATCTATATTAGATGATAATAAAGAAATAAAGTGAAATCACGTTAAGTCTAACAAATCACGCATTAACTGCGTTTGATAATATTGTTTGAGAAGGTGTCGCAGATTAGATTCACAGACAACATCATTGTCATAAGTTAAGACAAAATCATGAGCAGAGGCCAGGTCCATTCCAGAAATCAAAATACTGGATGACGCAGTATGAGCAGTATTGGCCAAAGAATCAGCAAAATCGTTTAAATAATTGCCAGAATGAGCTTTAACTTTGACGGGAAGGATGGTCAAATTCTTGGAGAGGATGGTTCGCTCAATAATAGCCCAAAGCTCAAAATTTGTAGTTTTGTAGTACAGACGACTATTTGAGTAGACAAAGGAAAAGCAACTTCGAAGACCATCAATGGCAGTTTGCGAGTCAGTATAAATAGTAACTTCTGAGTCGCGAGAAGAGATACTAGTTAAAACTGCATAAATAGCAGCAGCTTCAGCTCGAGAAGAAGAAGGATTATCTTGAATAAGGCCGTGAGCATAAGTGGCGATTGAGTTGGGAAAGCCTGCATCTGGAACGATTTGCATCCAGGACCAGCCAATAGAAACATCAGGAGTGCCTAAATTAATAAGAGATCCATCTGTGAAAAAAATATATCACGAGTCCAGAGAAGCGACCAACGGAGAGTTTGCAAAAACAGCAGCAGTCGAGGATTCAATAGTGATAGGAGCAACAGGAGCTACAATGGTATCGGCAGAAGGGAAATCAGAAGCAAAGTCCAATCTACTGTAATAAAGACGCACACCATCTTCTATATCAGCCTAAGTAAAAGGAGAAGTCACTTCAGAAGTATTACGTCTGATCCGCTCATTGGTAGTAGGCAGAATGAGCGAATGTTGTAAAGAGATCGTAGGTGTACAAAGGGTTAAATCAGCATTTCGTTTTTTGGAAAAAGGTAAGGAAATATGGGCAGCACAGCCAGGGCAAGGAGTAAGGATGGGTCCGCAAATGATTTTCAAATTCCGCAATATTGCGGATTTTGAAGTTGAATTGCGGTTAGTAGCCCGTAATTCCGCAATTCAGTTTTGGTGTTTTCTTACATACAAAAAACACCAGAACTAATAGG